AAACTTTAAACCATGACTTACGATGGAGATAAAAGTGATCACAAACATGAATATATAGAGTCAAGTAAATGACTTGCGTCATATATACATCATATTATATATATATATATATATTACAAATAGTTTTATGCCTCATTGGAAAGCTTGAAATATTCAAAAGTGAGTCTTGAAGAGCCCTCAGTTTTCATATAAATGCAAGAAGTGAAATTAATACAAATCAGACTTCACAAAATCGTTTATGAAGCCTTTATTGAGTAACCGTTTACTTTTAAGCTTTTCATCTTTAATTCTTTTATTTTGAAGAATCTTCAATTCACTCTCTGCTACTTCGAAAGGAATTTGAGCCAACGTCTCCAAATGATCATCCTCTCTATCAATATCTAACTCTCCAGTCATTACAACATTTTCTCCTCTCACCATGAACACGCCTCTATATGCTTCAGCAAATCTTGTAGGTCCTTCAATCACTTTACCTTCTTCGTTTGTCTCACCGTGACCCAAATAAATCCTCTCCACAGTATCTTGTAATACCAAGTTAGCGAATTGATCAAAAGTTCTGAGAATACCAAAAAGATTCCTTCCATCCCTTAACAAAACAAATATTTTTCTGTCAACAGATCCTACGATAGCCGCTGCTGTAGTAAAAGCATATGATTCCAAGTATAAATCTTCAACGTTTGGACCCAGCTGGCCCGACTGTGCACGTTGGTTTTCTTGAGATATTGGGGACATTGATATCGAATCGATCTATTTCTTATGTCAAGCCAAATTCAATAGTTTCTTTTATGCCCTTTTGGTTCAATTTTATTTTACTTTTCACAAACTTCACTCCCCTAGGCTCATTACCTTCAAGTTTTTGGTAACTAAAAGGAAATTGATGATGAAATTGACGAATTTATTTGGGTAGTGAACGACTCTTTTGATTGCAAAAAATACTTCCTTGGAGCTACGGACAACAAAGAAAATGATGAGACTGATACGAAGATTCTAGCAGCTGGTTATATCTGTAAAATTAAGGAAGCTAATGCATCCATTTAGTGCTGAATTTGCATTATGGATATTCTTGTTGAAGTCTTTTTCCAAAGATTTTCATAAAATTAATGAGAGAAACTCTAGCTGCTTCGGAGAATGATGACTTTTGGACAAAAATTTGAAGTACTAATATCTTATATTTCTCTAATTGGTACCTCAAAGCAATTGGAACTTCTCTAAAGAGCTTTTTCTTGTCATATTGTGAACCTAACAACTTTGTCATGGCCATCGACTTGTTTGATATTATGCAGGATATACACATTTATATATGAAAATTTCAACTTTAGAATGTGTCATGCTATCTTTTGGTAGCACTGATTTATTAAATGTCCTTTTACAGCTATAAGACCTACATAGAAGAAGGTGACTTGGTTTTGATTTATCTTGGGAGATCTAGTCTCAAGCCAATTATAGTTAAGACTGGAGATCGTTTGAACACAAGGTATGGTCATTATGATCATATTAATATGATTGGCAAAAAATACGGCGAGCAGATGGCTGGAGATAGTGGATATGGATTTATATATTTGCTACACCCAACTCCTGAGATGTGGACGCTTTCATTGCCTCATAGAACCCAAATCGTTTACTCTAAGGACTCGTCATATATCTTACAAAGACTTAACGTCACGAGTGGAACTCGAGTTCTTGAGGCGGGTACTGGCTCGGCATCTTTCACACATTCTTTCGCAAGGACAGTAGGGCTCGACGGGAAGGTTTTTACCTATGAGTTTCATGAGCCAAGATTCTTAGAAGCCAAGAAAGAGCTCGAAGAGCATGGGCTCACCAAAAATACTATAATTACTCACAGAGACGTATGTAATGACGGATTTCACATAGAGAGCATACCTGAATATTTCCAAAAAGAGGGAAAAATTAATGCAGATGTCGTGTTCCTCGACTTACCATCTCCGTGGACAGCAATAACTCAATTATCATCTGTGATTTCACAAACAACAGCCGTTGGAATTTGCTGCTTCTCGCCGTGTATCGAGCAGGTTGATAAGACAGTGAAATCTTTGCAAGATGAAGGTTGGATCAATATAGAAATGGTAGAAGTTTCAAGTAAGCGGTGGGAAGCTAGAAGGGAGATGGTGAGGGATGTGGGTGACGTTGTAAAGAGACTTAAGGACGTCCAGGCTAGAAAATCTGCTGGCATTGAAAGTAGAAGAGTCGCAAGTCTTCAAGCAGGTGACAAGAGGTCTCAAGATTCTGATGGTGATGATAAGCCAGGACCCACCAAGATTCAGAATCAAGGTAAGGGGTTTAATCCCTTTGGAAAAGGAATGAGAATTAGAGAAGGTGATAGACAATTCAAATGGAAACAAGTTACCAAGATTGAAACAGATATTAAAAGCCATACTTCGTACTTGACCTTCGCCTTGAAGCTACCAGAAAAAAGATTGTACAATAGCTAATTAAATAGATATTTGATTCTTAATAGTCGTGCCCGCGCCAATTATATTGGTTGGCCTACTTCGAAACCTTTCAGATTTCCAAATGAAGATCAGTGTATATACGGAATACAAGGACTAAATCAGTTAGTTTTTGGCTTATTTTAGTTGAAAGTGACTTGATTGATTTGACATAAAGAGAGAAATATAATGAATGGAACACCAATTGGTAAGTAACTGATAATTGGCTCCTGAAATTATTCCGAAGGGAATAGAGGAGTTTGCTTTAAAACAATAATGGCATTCTAACTAACTATATAGTCCTTGATCAAGGTACTGGTTTTGTAAAAATTGGCAGGGCCGGAACTAATTTTCCCGACTATACTTTCCCTTCAATTGTTGGAAGGCCAATATTAAGGGCTGAAGAACGAAATGTGTTACTTCCAAGCGACATTGAAATTAAAGATATAATGTGTGGCAGTGAGGCAAGTGAAGTTAGATCCTTGCTTCAGATAAGCTATCCTATGGAAAATGGTATAATTAAGAATTGGGAAGATATGGAGCATTTGTGGGACTATGCGTTCTACGAAAGAATGAAAGTCAACACCCTGGGTGAGAAAGTATTATTAACAGAACCTCCAATGAACCCATTGAAGAACAGGGAGACTATGTGTGACGTTATGTTTGAAAAGTATCAATTTGGTGGCGTATACGTTGCAATTCAAGCAGTTTTGGCTTTGTATGCTCAGGGTCTCAGTTCAGGAGTTGTGGTCGATTCTGGTGATGGCGTGACTCACATTGTTCCTGTTTATGAGTCTGTCGTCTTAAATCACTTAACAAAGAGATTGGACGTTGCTGGGAGAGACGTTACTAGGAATTTGATCAATCTTTTGTTACGTAGAGGATACGCATTCAACCGGACAGCTGACTTTGAAACAGTTCGGTGCATCAAGGAAAAGCTTTGCTATGTTTCCTATGATTTGGACTTAGACAGCAAGTTGGCTCAGGAGACAACAACATTGGTAGAATCCTACGAGTTGCCAGATGGTAGAATCATTAAAGTCGGTTCTGAAAAATTTGAAGCTCCCGAGTGTTTGTTCCAACCCCTGTTGGTGGATGTAGAACAACCAGGTGTTGGAGAAACATTATTTAATACTATTCAAGCAGCTGATGTCGACGTAAGATCTTCATTATATAAGGCGATAGTTCTTTCTGGAGGCTCCTCTATGTATCCAGGTTTACCGTCTAGATTGGAAAAGGAATTGAAGCAATTATGGTTGACGAAAGTTCTAAAGGGTGATGCTCTGAGATTAAGTAAATTCAAGGTCAGGATAGAAGATCCTCCTAGAAGAAGAAACATGGTTTTTATTGGTGGCGCTGTTTTAGCTAACATCATGGCGGATAAAGAACATATGTGGGTTACTAAGCAAGAGTGGGAAGAACAAGGTCCACGTATTTTAGAAAAATTGGGACCCCGTTAAAGATTTCGTCCTTATAACTTGTATATTATTCTATAAAATTTTTCTCCTTCTATTTTACATGCTTTTCTTGTATCTGATAAAGAAAGGTATCTTAAAAGTCAATTTACAAAGAATTTTGTAGTAAGATATGCTGTAATATGATTGAACAGCTGATTCGCTTAGCCATAGTTCAAACTTTCAATCTGCTTTAAAACAGTATCGACCAAACGATCATAAACATCCGCAGTTATTAGTCTACTACCACTCAGCCTATTGTTATAGCCGAAGTTTACCGCCAGATGTACCAAATCTCTTATAAACGTTTCACTTACGATTTTTGGATTTAAAAAGTCACTGTTTAAGCACTGATCTACTGTCCATCTTTCGTTGGGATTTCTCGAAAGACAATTTTGCATCAATTCCACAGCACTCTGAGGAACTTTGATATTTCCAATACCTTTCACAGGAAACAGAATTTTCACCTGAGGGTTAATTATAGCCATTATCCTCTGATTACCAGAATAACCTCCATATGGAGGCTTACCATAAATCATTTGATATATTATACAGCCACACGACCAGACATCAGAAGGCTTACCAACCTTCCAGGTGTTCTTGGGCAATTCCTGTTGATTCGACGGCAAAGGTAAGCCTGGGAATGTCTGATTAACTTCGATAAGTGCCTCTGGGGCCATGTAGTTGGGTGTTCCTATTTGAGATTCACGATAAATATTCGCAGTGTGATCTGGAACAGCGTTGGCGATCCCAAAATCAATAATCTTTAGAACTCCCCTCACAAAAAGAAAATTAGCTGGCTTCAAATCACTGTGTACAATGCCTGCCTCGTGGACAGCCTCCACGCATCTCAAAATCTCAATTGAATGATATTTGACAAAGTTGAGATCCAAGGGATTGTTCATGTTTAATTTTGTCTGAAACACATGCGCTAGATCGATATCACCACACTCCATGACCAAATATATTGAACCTTCGCCAATTGCATGATCAATTAATTTAACCACTCTATCTGCATCTTTTAGTTTTAGAAGTAAATCAATTTCTCCTTTGAATCCCTTCACACAAGTTTCGTCAAATTGATCAAAAGTAACTTTCTTTATAGCATATAGCCTATTTTTTGAGGTCGCTTTGACTTTGTATACCTTTGATGAGCCACCTCTGCCTAAAAGTTCTAGTTTTTCATAGTTATTACCATTTATTACGATACTTTTTTTCTTTTTGTTATCATCTGAGGAGCTTGATCCTGCCAGTCCCAAAGTCGCCTGCTTTCCTGATTGTGGATGTTGCTGAGGCTCCTGTTGGGGCAACGCCGAAATTTGAGAGAGAGCAGAGCTTCTAGGTAGTTTAGGTTTCCTGAATCCTTCATCTTCATGTGATGTATTCAAAACATTCGACGAAATCGGCACTAAAGGTTGCCTAAATGACTGATGCTTGCTTTGACTAGAATTATCGTGTCCTTCAAAAATCATATTTTCTTTGTCCTCATTCAATAACCGTTTGCTTTTTGAATCACTTCTATAATCATCTCCATCTTGGGACTCGAACTCGCTTCTCTTATCAATTTTGAAATCAGATATGCTCCTGCCATTTATATTAGACTTGAATGTATCCAAATTGATATCATAATCTTTCTCTATATCTTTGTTCTCTGGATCGTCAACCTCCATTTCATCATGTCTGGATTTGGATAGCTTGAATCGTAACTCATTTAAAGATTTTTGTTCCTCGATGCGTCGCCTCAATTCAATCTCTTTTTCTTTGGTTAATAATTCAACTTCAGGAGATACTGAATGTGTTTCTTGTTTAGCACTATCTATGAATACCGACTCAGAGTTTTGGGCACTTGATTCTTTCAAATGTATTGGAGTTCTTAGTTTAGGTGAAAAGTTCATCGGAAATGCAGGCGGTGGGGTACTAAGTGTGTTGCTACTATTTCTCAGGTTTCTTCTTTGAGTTTCTTCTCGACTTTGATTCTCATGTTGCACATCTTGGTCAGATCTCTCTTCAGGTCTCTCGTCTACGCTCTTTGATGCTCTTTTTGGAGGTCCTAAGATCTTTCCGAAACGCATCGTTCCTCGAGTCCTTTTAATAGTATGAATGCTGCCTGTTCTAGAAGCATTTGAATTTGATGACATCGGAGGGTTATCGCCAGGAGTTGTAGCAGGAGTATGATTTGGTGTTTGATTTGAAGACAGTTTAGACAGACTATTATGAGGTGAAGCAGCTTCCATTATGTCTTCTTCCGACCCGGTATGTACATTACTAGATTGATTAAAAGAATATCCTGAGATGTTATGAGACCCAGCAAAGTATGACTGTTGCGCAGAGTGGCCGGATGATTCATTCTGAAATGACGTATGTGAAGCATTGTGAAAAGAATTGTTACCAGTGTATTCTCCTTGATTCGATTCTTTAAAGTGCACTGAAAGCTTACTTTTCAAGAAGCTGCCGCTCTTCTTTCCATCGGGAAAATCAAGCTCATATATGCCCGTGACTTTATTGGAGGTGGGTGTTTGTCTTTTCGATGTCTTCTCATTCAATAATGCGATACTATAAGAGCTTAAAGCCGGAGGAAGAAATGTGTTTTCTTCTTCAATGGACTCTATTATCTGACGTTTGTGGCCCTTAGAGAGGCCCAGGACTTTCCTAGAAGGAGGTGTTATATCATTAAGTGCCATGGTCCCGTATATCCAACTTCTAATTTCATGGGAAGCTATCCACTTAACAAAATATATTAATTAAATCAATCAAAAGATGGCCTCTTCGTTATCTTAATTCTTTAAGGCAATTAGGTCGCCTACTCCTGTGTCTCTGTATCACGAATTCTTGGATGCCCACTTTCTTCTATGATTTGCTTCAACTTCTCTTAAGATGGTTATATAGGAACTAAAGGGTCCGCAGCAAAGGAAATCAAATCCTATAGTTATTTCTCAAGACCTAATATCTCGATAGCCGTGGGTGTAAACTTAACGAAAGAAGTTCGTTTTTGTTGCACTTATACTAACATCGCGTTTGTTTACAAAGGGATCTTCAAAGAGCAGGACGACACAAAACAGGAAAGTGACACAAAATTATAATTATCATTTCTACCTGAACTTTTTACGATCAAGCTCTATTGAATCTATCTATAGACATGAATAAATATATATTTGACCGCTATATAATTTTAATCTTTTTCAAATCTCTTTATCCATTCTTTGTGCTCTAAATGAAATGTCTTATCTAAAACCCACCCGTCATATCCCTGATTCTATCAACCTCAGCCTGTAATGCTTTCAAATCGTCTAAAATATTTGCAGTGCTGTCATTCTCGTTACTATATATAGTAGATTTTGGTGGTAATGGGGGAGGAGGCGGTGATGATGTAGCTGCACGCCTTCTAGATGGAGGTGGTGGCGGAGGTGGAACTTTGTGTTGACTCTTCTCGTGGCCATTAACTTGAGGTAAAGGCGAGTCTGAATGCAGGGATATTGCCGAATTGTTGTCTCTAGGGCCACCCTGAGGCATTGAGGACAATACTGAAGGCATTGGAGAAGAAACGGACCTGGACCTCCTTGCGGCAGGAACAGGCGGCGGTGGTAATGGCCTGTCAACCTGTGATGCAGATGTTGACCTCATTGGAGACCCATTTGTCGTTGTCCTGGTTGAATTTACCAAAGTATTAGCTTGCGTATTTCCTGTCATCTGATCAGTAAATGACTGTAGCGTAATTTGAGGTGTCTCTTGGGATGCTTGAGGTGCAAAAATTTTAGCCATATCATTGGGTCCTGTAACGTTAGGATTCAACGGAGATAAAGGACCATTCGTTTCCCTCATTTGTTGCATTTGATTTGGTCCAGTCATATTTGGCTTTAACCCTTGTGTCTCTGGCGATGGGCTAAATAATTGAGACATTTGGGCAGGCCCTGTCATGTTAGGTCTCAAAAGTTGTGAATGGCCAGGTTGGAAGTCTAAATTAGCCGGAACTCCTCCTATCGAAGCAGTGTCAACTGAATGCAAATTTTTAAAGTGATTTATTTGAGATTCCATATCTTTTAATATTTCCTGTTCGTCTTCATCTTGTTGTTGCAGTTGCTGGGTTGGAGGATTATTTCTCATTCGATTCAATAATTGGTCCATTGGTAAAGAATAGTCAATAGCTTGTGACTGCGGAGAAGGTGAACCAATTGGACTTGCAAATGAATCATCATGTATATCCGTAACGATTTGATCAGAAAATTTAACAGATTTTAACTTTTTCGAACGCCCTTTCTTAGGTTTTTCGTCAGGCCGTTCACCGGTAAGCATAAATTGAGTAAATGAATCTAAATCTAAAGGCTTTTTGGGCTCCGTGTTACTATCTTCGGCCATTTCTAAGTTACCATCACTATCATCCCCGTCGTCCTCATTGTGTCTTTTTTTGGAAAGAATTGACGTAGGAATAGGGACTTGTGTTTTATACTTAATTAGTATTCTTTTTGGATCTTCTCCTTTCATTGCATGACTAATAAGTCTCAAAACTGCAAAGAACTCTCCTATATTTATGGATTGTAAGATCTTCTGGAATATTTTGTTTATCTTCTCCTTCACCGCATGAGAAATCTTGAAATTATTTAAAAAGTTGTAAACATCGTTCATTGTTATGGTTCTGCTATTAGTCCGTGCTAGTATGTCACTATACCATCTCATATAAGTTTTGGATTCCTGTAGTGTCAAGTCTTGTGCAGTTAAAGACAATGGAACACTATCTTCGGAATCGCCATTCGATTCATTACCTTGCTTCGACAAGTCGGAGCTTCTCGAGTTCCTATTAAGTAGTTGGTCTGCCGATGTATTTCTAAATGGGATATTCTCGCTGCTTCGATTCCTCAAGCTTGCGCTTGATTTATATCCAAAAGACACGGGTGGTGCAGGTGAATTTGTTCCGCTGCTATTGCCGGATGAAGGCACATTCAACCAATCAAACCCTGGTGCATTCATCTCGTTGTAGCTAGCGTTTCAAGTTTTATTTGTGATAAACTAATTGAATCCTCCCTAGAATCACTTTTAAAAGTTGAATATAATATAGAAGTGAATTGCGCATATATATATTTTTTTGATATTCAACCCTTTCTCGGGAAATCAGAAAAGAGGTTATGTTATGTTCAATTTGAAAAGAAAGAACTCAGAGAAGCCTGATAATTCGAAGAAATCTAAGAAGAATGCCTTTGACTATGGTTCAAGCTCAGAGGAGGAGTGCAACCGTGAGTCAAAGTTCTTAAAGTCTATCAAAGATAGATCTCATAAGGTTTCAACGGAAGTAGCAAATCACGACCCTACAGAACAATTGCAAAAAGCAATAGATAAAATTGATTACGTCTCTGAGCCAAAGTATGAGGATAAGGAGACGGAACTGAAATACTTGAAGACCTTTGTAAATTCAACTCAAAGGAGGAGAAATGAAAGACTAGCTGCGCAGTATATGAGCCAAGAAAGCAAAGCCAAGCAAGATGTAGAAGTTTTTGAAAGTGACACATATAAAAAGGAAAAGAAAAAAGTACTTTCTTTGCAACAGAAAGAGGACGAAGAGGAGCCTAACGATAATAGTTCTTTTTTTAGCCACCTTATTAGCACAAGACTAGGAGAAACCGTTACTTCATCAGACAATCAAGTCGAGACTATACCAACACCTAAGTCAATTGAGTTGACGGATGTCCGAAAAACTGCAAAAGCAATAAGAAGACATGATTATGAGTATCAAGCTCATCCTACGGAAGAGGAAGAGACAGAAGTTGATATCATGGCGGAGAGACTCAAAAATTTTTTAAAATGTACAGTTAGTGTGGATGATTTAAAAGGCTACAGAGAACGATATTGGAGTAGAATGATATAACTTGAAAATTTAGAGAAGCATAGCGTAACTAACAAAATGCGGTAATACTTCGACACTACATAACGATTGAATAAAATTTAAATATTTGATAGGTTCAGGTAAACTAGCTCATTGCCTCTTGCAAAGCAACGGTATCAGCTATATGCTTTGAAGTAGGTTGGGAACCAGCCCAGTTAGTATTTTCTTGTAATTCGCCAGTAGTATCAGGTTGAATCCTAGTTTGTTCGTTTCCAATGTTTGAAGATGCTAAACGTTCAACTTCTTGGGCAGACGGCATGAAGATAACTCTTGTTCCTGGAGACTTAGCCATATTTTGGATAGCATCAAGATATCTTATTTGCATAGCTGGTTTAGAGGCTAAGATATCCGCAGCTTTTCTCATCAATTTAGCACTCTCAACTTCGGCTTTAGCATTTATGATCTTACCTTCACCGATTCTCTTTGCCTCAGCAGCCATGGATAATGAGCTCTGGACCTTGTCAGGTAATGTCAAATCCTTGATCAATATAGATTCAATGTTGACACCCCAGTCAAAGGCCGTCTTTGCAATTACGTGTTCAATAGATTCGGCAATCTCTTCTCTCTTCTCGACCACATCCTGCAAAACACGACAGCCAATTACATCTCTAAGAGTGGTTTGTGTTCTTTCCATAATAGCTGAGTGGATGTTATCGATTGAATAGATTGCCTTCTGAGGATCAATAATATTATAGTAAACGACTGAAGTGATGATTACACTAACGTTATCTCTGGTGAAACACTTTTGTGCTGGGATCTCTCTAATATTGATCTTCACGCTGACTCTGGTTAATGTCTCTGACCATGTATTCACGTAAGATAACCCAGGTTCTACTGTTCTTGATAATGCACCGAATGTTTGGATCAATCCAACTTCACCTTGATCAACTTTCTTATATGGATTCAGACAAAGGAAACAAAAGATACCACAACTACCAAATGTTGTACCTAAACTGCTAATAAACTTCTGATATGAATTTGGAGGTGGCGTATCATATGACCTAGCAAAGTTCTTCAACACCATCTCTGGCTTCACTGCAGGTTGACTCTTCACCACGTCATCGTCAGTGAAAGTCTTTTTTGCAGAAACTGGGTCTTTCCATTCTTCTGAATGTGTCGAGCTCATTATGCAATCTTTAATTCTCTCTTAACAAATGATATATAATGCTTCTGTTAAACCGAAATATCCTTTAGATTAATATCTCAGATTGTATTTAACAGATCTTTTACAATTGACTTGTTTTTGTAATTTAAAAGTCTAAAGCGGTGGGGAATTTAGCCGCATATAAATACAAACGTTAACAAGTAGTTTGCTTGGCTGCGGCTCAGGTAAGGCTGCGACTTTAGCGTCCTTCGTCAAGTGTGTATACTGTCCGATAGTGTCGGCTGGTTAATGACCGCGTACATGACTCCGTACTATTATACGAGAAACATTTTATGCAAGCCTCCACTGATAGATGATCATTGCAGAATGAAAACGGCAGAACAAGAGAGAGAGATATGCTACAGATGTGTAAGGGGGGATGGAGGTTTTTACTGACCGCAGCAGGAGGGACTTTTACTTTCAAAATCATCATGAATTAAAGCATGAGATCTGAATTCATGTGGGCTTTTCGGATTTAAATCGTATATACAGTGCATACTAAAGCGGCTTTACGTAATTGATTCTTTTTAAAACTAGCGGCTAAAGCTACTGGTTCAACTCCATATCGGCCCATGTCGGCAAAACAAAAGCTGCTTCGTGAATTCTCTTATTGTAATACTTCAAGTTCTTTTTTACGAAGTCATCCGACCAGTCAAACCTAACAGGTTTCGTGACGTCAACATTAGGGTCCTTACTGCACACCATGAAACCAATTGAACCAGATGGATAAGTTGGAATCATAGTGTAGCCATATTCGGCAACAGCAAATATGTCCTTACAGTCTTTTTTCAACTGGGTGATGATAGGCATATGTAACCAGATATTCTCAGCCTGGGTCGTGATGACACCCTTGTCAGTTAATGCCAGATGCAAAAGCTCAAAGTAAGGTTTCTGGAAAAGCGACTCAGCAGGACCCTCAGGATCTGAGGAGTCTGTGATTATCACATCAAATTGATTCTTGTACTGAGCTAAGAACTTGAAGCCATCCCCAATATGGATCTTGACCCTTGGATCATCGTAGGATTTGGCCATATCTGGTAAATACTTCTTGGCCACCTTGATCACGGTTTCATCTATATCACACAACCATGCCTCTTCAATGGAATCATGCTTTAAAATCTCTCTTAAGACTCCGCCATCACCACCACCTACAACGAGAGCCTTCTTCGGGTTCGGATGACTGTTTAAAGCCAAATGGGCAATCATCTCCTGGTAAGCAAACTCATCTCTTTCAGTGGCCTGAATACAATCATCCAACACGAGTACATTTCCATAAGTTGTTGACTTGAAAACCAAAACATCTTGGTACTTAGACTTCTCGACATGCAATACCTTCTCAACTTCAAGAGACATTGCCTGGCCTGGCCACATAGTCTTGGAGATTTCAGCAAACCATCCATCTTTGATGGAAGGGTGTGTAAGTTCTTGAGAGCTCATTATTCACAATAGAAAGGAGTAGAGAGTATTATTCTTCGTTATCTAAAGTATAGAAAATCTGAAAAAATTAAAGAAAAAAAATTACTCACAAATTTCGCATCCGCAATTGGATCAGAGTCAATTCTAGAGAACTTTCCAAGAAAAAGAAGAATCCTATGATACTCAACTATTCATAGTTGATACTAGTTCCCTTCGAGTTTCTGTGCACATGATACAAGAAAGTATTTGTGCTCTGACCTAAAGTATTTTCTATTTTCAACATTATTATTAATTTTGTTTATAGTAAATGGCTCAAGAGCTTTGGTTCGCTCTTTAGCTCTTTTAAAAATTGCTAGCAACGAATTGCTTCTAACTTTTTGGCAATGCCTCTCTTACATTAGTATCTTCGTCAAAACTAAAGGAAACGGCTGTGAATTGGTGAGTATGGAATTTCAATAGAATAAAATTTCACAAAGTGGCAACTTGTCCGAGCGGTTAAGGAGAAAGACTTGAAATCTTTTGGGCTATGCCCGCGCAGGTTCGAGTCCTGCAGTTGTCGTTATTTTACTTTTTTATATATTGAATGAAAATACTTAAAACAATAACTGAACGTTTACTGTTCTGTCGATTTATGTGTAAAGTACTCCCAACGCTTTATCTTGTTCATGGTACATTATTGATAGCTAAGATTCCATCTCGTTTGTTTTTAAGATGGTAGACTTCATCAAGTACCAAGGGTTTGATCATGTATTCCAGTACTCAGGTCCCTGGTTGTGGTGGTTAGTAGGGTTTTACTTATGCTTGCCAATTCTTGCTTACATTATTTTGCCATATTTAGGTAGTAAAGGAACATTTTCTGGTAAGAAGAGAACAATATCAATCTTTGTTATGGGAGATCTTGGGCACTCTCCTAGAATGTGCTACCACGCTAAGTCGTTCTCAAAACTTAATTATTATGTCAACTTGTGTGGGTATTTACAATCTGAGCCACCTGCTGAAATTGTCGATGATATAAACATAGAGATTCATCTGATTCCGTTGACTGAAAACAGAGCAGGTTTGCCGTTTGCTTTGTTTGCAGTCAAGAAAATCATACTACAAATATTCCAGTTGTTTAGTATGCTATTTGAGTTTCGTGGTTCTGAGTATATACTCATACAAAATCCACCCTCAATTCCAATACTTGTTGTTGCAATCATATTCATAAAATTATTTAGCAGAAACACTCAATTAGTTGTTGACTGGCATAATTTGAACTACACAATTTTAAATTTGAGGTACAATAACTTAAAGCATCCTGCTGTAAGAGCCCTTCGATTATACGAAAAGTTTTTCAGTAGATTTGTCAGTTTCAATCTTACAGTTACTAAGTGCTTGAAATCCTTTCTTGTAAATGAGTTTTCGATAGATAATAAGAAAATATTGACTGTGTATGATAGACCAGCGAATCAATTCAAACCTTTGGACTCGTCTGGTACGACGAAAAATGAAATTATGAATAAAAGTCAATTCTTCGATGGAGCCAAAGATTTGTCTGAGTACAAGATATTGGTTAGCTCTACGTCATTTACTGCAGATGAAGATTTCTCTATCCTTCTAGATGCATTGAAGATTTGGGACAAATCAAGTACGAAATTACCAAAATTGCTTCTAATCGTCACTGGAAAGGGACCCATGAAGGGCGAATTTTTAGACAAAGTTAGGCAATTGAATTTTTCTGAAAGTATTGTTATCAAGACGGCATGGTTATCCTCTGAAGATTATCCTAATGTACTTTCAATTGCTGATGTGGGTATATCCTTACACTCTTCATCAAGTGGCTTGGACCTTCCTATGAAGATTGTTGATTTCTTTGGTTGTGGTGTACCTGTAATTTCACTTAAATTTCCAGCTATTGGTGAATTGGTTAAGCAAGGAATAAACGGATTGATTGTTGAGGATGTTAATGAAACAGGTAGAAGTCAAGCTGAGAGCATGGAGAGACTTTTGGAAAATGTGCTCACTGACCCTAAATTATTAAGAGATTTAAAAGTTGGTGCCCTCGAAGAAAGCTATATTAGATGGGACGAACATTGGAATGCAAAGATGGGACCTAAATTTAGATACCAAATTTGACTTATAACAAAACCACTTATAGATACCTTTCATTTATATACGTAGTTAGTTTCTGTAAATAAATATCATCATTTTCATCTTTAATATTTTTCTTACGAGTATTATTTGCTGTCCAGAATTGAAAGCCGTCAATTTCATATTCATCTAGTAATTCATGCTCCGGTATAAGATCCCATTCTTCCTTTATACCTATCACTTCTTTAGTTATAAATGCCCAGCATTTCGCCGTTTCCGTAAAGTTATATCCTCCACCCCCTAAGATCATAACAGGCGCCGGGGAAAATTCATCAATAACTAACTGAATAACTTTACTGTAGCCTCTGATAGTCATATTCCACTGTCTATGGTCATCTGTCCCTAAGCCGTCGCACCCAGCTTGTATCACAATAACTCCAGGAGAAAAACTTTTGATTAAAGGAAGAATTGTCTCCTTAGTAATATATAATAAGCTAGAGTCACTTAGTCCTCTCCTTGTAGGTATGTTAATAGCTGTAGGCAGAAAAAACTCATGGGATCCTGTGCCAGGGTAAAACCCAAGGTCGAATCTATGAATAGAGCATGTCATAACGTTTCTGGAAAACTTATAACCATTTTCAACACCATCTCCATGATGCAAATCAAAATCAAGATAAAATACCTTTCCAAATTCTCGGCGTAGGTGACTTATTGCAAGAATTACATCATTCACGTAGCAGAATCCTGCTGCCTTACTTTTCATGCAGTGATGTCTACCGCCATACCAATTGATGACGACGTTTTGGACGTCAATTGATCTTTCTTTAACTAATTTCTCTGCAGAAAGAATACTCGATGCTGCAGTAAACCTCACATAGTCAGCCATAAAAGGAAATACTGGGCAATCAAACAGCAAGCCGTACTTATCACATTCCTCTTGATCGTCAACATCCTCATCATCGGAATAAACCTGTTCTTCATTGCGTAAATCGCCAATTTCTTGAATCTCTTCACCACAATCACTATCTTCTCTGTGGTCACCTTCCACGTTCAAATTGTGCTCAATATTCGACTGCTGTAAAACAGCCTTAGTCCTGAAAACCTGTTGAAGATCTTGGGCTCTTAAAATATGCCTCAATAGCCCATAATGTGGGCTTGACGAATCAATATCCGATCTTTTGCGAAGTAAGCATTTTAAGAAGCGTTTGTCGTGGTATGCTTCAAGATCTGACGTCTTAGCCTTATATATTGGTATCACATTCTCACATTTGCAATCAAGACGATACGCTTGAATTAAAGAAGAAACAAGTGATTGCCGACCTTCATTAGATGGTAGCAAGTCACATACCTTAGAGGCAACATCTGATGAGGTGATCCATACTTTTCTTCGATGTTTCTGTGTTATTGAACTCTCTGACATTAATGTCTAAATAGAAATATCTACATGTAAACTATCGAAGAATCGCGTTTATTTACAGAGTAGCATTAATATTATTGATTTTACAATAAAAGTCAATGACGGGAAGAATAGTTTTATTCATTTGATCCTCCCAGTCCTCAATCCCATTTTGTATCAATTTGTGATCATCAGCCCCATATATTCCACTCTTTAAAAGGCTCTTTTCACATTCGATATTAGTTCTGAGCCACTCAAGTAAAATTAAGCATCTGTTAAGGCTTCCAACATTCAAAAGGTCTCTAAAATATTGTGCAAGTATCGACACATCATCTGGATGTGGTCCATTTTGACGAAGAGAGGACGAAACCCACCCTTCTAATTGCGATTTTATTTGGGGAAACGAAGACTCACGATTTAAAAACAAAGGAGTCGCAAACGATCGTCTTTGATTTGAGATCCAATCCGACGAAATTTCTTGGACTTTTGATCTCTGCTTCTTATATTTGTTTTCAATTTTTTCTTTCAATGGAACTAGGTCAAACTTTTTTATTTTCTTCTTATATTCGATGTCTTTCAAAACGTCATTCCTAACAGAGGACGGCAACTCGTTCAACACGCTCGAGTCATAAGAACTAGAGTTAATCTCAAATTCTGGTGACTTATTTTTTGTCGGCAGATTGTTCCTCACCACTTTTTGACGCTTCTTAGAGAGTTTCGTAGGGGATTCAATCGTTCTTATATATTTCACTTGGTTTCCAGACTGCGATGGAAGTAGTTGTTGAAGATACACTTTGGTGCCTCGGTCAAGTTTTGATGGCAGCTTGCCCATTATTTGTCTTTTGACGGGAGATGGGAATTCGGAAGACGTATGAAAGCGTCTTCTAAGCTCTGAGAGCAATTCTTTCTTTATATCTTGAGGCAACTCTTTGAACACATCCCAATCTATATCTTCATCAGGCAAAGAATTTAAAACATTATCTTTAGACTTCCTTTTCTTGCTGTCTTCGCCAGTATCCATCGCAGGTTTGCCAGTTTCGAATGGCAACCTTCTCTGTCTATTTTTTTTGAGGACCTCTATGTCCTCCAATTTAGTCATAGTCACGCCAATTCCTCTTAACTCATGTATAGGAACGTTGATAATTCTGAAGAGCGATTTTAACTCTGAGCCTACGACACCCCAGTCATTTGTGGGAACTCCTAAACTAGACGATTTACTGAAAGAATCACATATACCCATTCCAAGATACTTTGGAGGGTCTAATGGAGCATCCGGGGATCTTCTGGCAAGCTTCAAAGATAGATTCGAGCCACAAAGTCTAAGCTTGACCAACCTGGAATGCAATTCTTCTGAAATCTGCATTAAAAAGAAATCAGCTTGTTCAATTTTATCAAATCTTATTCCATAATTAACCTCTACCGAAAGAGACTTTCGTCCCAATGCCGCTTCACTATTACTTATATCAATACTTATGGTAGCCTCACTAATTCCCCTTGCATATTGATGTAATTTTTTTCCAGTCTTTTCACCAAAAATGGCACTTAACTTGAGCTCGGAGAAAAAAAGTAAGTCCTCTATAACAGGGTTTTCCTTTGGAGTCTTTCCCTCCATCTTCAACTCTGTAATTAATCTATGTTTCACATTTTCACCAATTCCTGGCAAGTCAGTTAACGGAATCTCTCGCAAAAATTCTTCAACATTATCCTTTAAGTGGAAATATCCGTCAGGTTTGGCTTTTCGTAGCGCCAAACGAGCTAGGAGGACATTATGCGATGCACCAATACTAACTGGACATTGAGTTAGAGAAAAAACGTCTCTCCTTATTTCTTGACACAACTTTTCTACGGACGCCTGGAAGTCAGGGCCATCACAATACGAACTAGCATCAACCAAGACTTCATCTATCAGAACTGGAAATATGGAATCAAAAATATGACGATTGACTAAGTAATCGTAAAATTTAGTTGATCTATTTTCATAAGAATCAAAGTCATAATTTAAAGTGATAAGATTGGGGCATTTTCGTCTCGCGCTTCTCATCCACATTCCATTTTTAACACCGAAGCTTCTTGCTACGTAATTGCAGCTGGCCACATCTGAAGTTATTGTTCCGTGGCTGACGGCCACTGGTTGGGTTTTAACATCGATGTTTGGATAGTTGAGACAGGAAGCAGTGGCAAAAAAGCAATCAAAATCGATATGTAAAATCAATCTTTCATTTATTTTAGCCTTATTTTGGGATGTGTGCTGTTCTTCCTTAATAATTCGCCTCAAAAATTGCAACCTCAAGTCTGCTTTCCAAGTGCTTAAGTGGTGAAGTCTCGATTTAGCAAAAAAGTGTTTCAAAAATTCAGGATGCCTAGCATCTATGGCATTTGTATTACCTGAATTGAGTTTAATATCGTCTAATGACTCAGTTTTGAGTGGCTCTGATTGAACCAGTTCCTCTAACAGGCCCTCGCCCTCGACACGGTCACGTTCACTCATTTGCTGACTTCCTTCATTTTCCTCATAGCTATCGCTAGCCTTGGCCGCCCCAAACTCCAATCGAGTTTGGCCGTATTCAATATCCTCTATCAATCTATAATCGAACCAATTAAGTAATTTGTGCTTATCAACAGAATCGACGATCCATTTTGCTTTTACAACGCGACAGTTTTTGAATTCAATTCTTTTCCTTGGTGTAAGCCTATCACAGATTATGTGGGTAGCAGCTGATTTCTTTCCTAGATAGCTCAAAAACTTTCCACCATGTAAAATCACCAATCGATGAATTTCATTAATTGACGGCACAGTGTATCCGTTCACATGAATAATACAACCTTGAAAAACAGGTACTAACTGATCTTTACCTTCTCTTCTTCTTCTCTTATTCTCCCACTTAATATACTCAATATCCGATTTTTGCTGCTTTATGAGTTTGTTTCGAAAATATAATCCGAAATCACCAAATTCATGGACTGGTCCTACCTCTGGATCCTCTTCGTCCAGCTTAACTTCATCATATTCTTTATCTCGAAAAGAATTCGATATCCTGTTATCGTCAGCAGCATCTCCGAAATTTTCTTGAAGCTGTTCAACTTCGTCATCATCAGTTACGTTTGCCGGATCATTATCCTTTGCAACCAATTTTAATAGTTCGTCATCCAACCCATCGTTAAACGGGTCTGTACTCGTTGAAGTGAAACTATTAACAACATCAACTTCTCTTGATAGGGTCGACTGTGCTTGAAATGAATCTTCTCTAACCACATCGCTTCTTTGACTCAAATTCTTGAAATGTGATATAAATTGACTATCATCAAGAGACCTCAAATATAATTGATAATTTTGGCTATCATCCCCCATTTACTGTGAATATATCCATGTCTTTACTGTATCGTCACCAAAGTTATGTTTGGGTATTTATAATTTCGTGGGATCTTGGTTGACTACTGATTTTTATGTTTAGATTTGTAGATCACTTCTAATGAATTCTGCCAAACAAAGCTAAAGTGTCACTAAAACGATTTAATATTCTCTCGCTATTTTTATCTCTGACAGCGTCTATTTAGCAAACTAATAGTGTGATCATAAAGAAAACCACAAAAATGGTATGTCTATACGTAGCGACAGTTCTAAAGAAGCTATAGCACTCTCTTTGTGGGAGTGACAGTATAATAATGTTCAAAAGAGTTTAAAATTCTGATGTTGTCGAAAACAACGCGGTACCATAAACTCTTTAGAGCTTCGAGGCAACAAAATACTAACACTCATAGGCTGAGAAGTTATCAGAGCAACAGATTGCTGAGTTTAAAGAAGCTTTTTCATTGTTTGACAAGGACAGTGATGGAAAAATTACTTCCAAAGAATTGGGTACAGTTATGAGATCATTGGGCCAAAACCCATCTGAGAGTGAATTAACTGACATGATTAATGAAGTTGATGTTAACAGTGATGGATCTGTTGATTTCCCAGAATTTCTTACCATGATGGCTAGAAAAATGAAGGACACTGATTCAGAAGCCGAAATTGCAGAAGCGTTTAAAGTATTCGACAGAAATGGCGACGGCAAAATCAGCGCTGCTGAGTTGAGACATGTCTTGACTTCTATTGGTGAAAAGTTGTCAGATGCCGATGTAGATCAAATGATCAAGGAGGCTGACACTAATAATGATGGTGAAATTGATATCCAGGAGTTCACTCAATTGTTGGCGGCACGTTAATTTAGTGTTTATTTACGGATGATGTGATGTTAATCCTCATTTGATACCGTGTTATTATGTGTTTCGTTGTTTTTTTTTACTTTTTATAAATTACATAGTAAGTATATGTTCTGACAGTCCTATTGTGTCTGTTAGGGTCTTGAATTTATAGTGTCTAATTATCACATAAGAAACACCATTAGAGAATTAAGCTACTAGTTAAGAACTTAAATGATAAGTTTAATTTAAACCTAATGTCTAACCTAAAGTAACAGTCGCCTCATCTGCGTAAAGAATTGAATCTACTCACTTTCGTTTTCGCAGGTGTCTTAATTCCAGTGGGAGTAGATACTACTCTTGATCTCGGATAAACTTGGCGTTCACCAGGGTCATAAATTTCTTCGTTCTTATGGGAGTTAGAGACCAGTTGGTCTTCCTTAAAGTTATTGTCACTGTCATCGTTAGCATCTTTTTCTATTATCAAATCGTCCATATTTCGGTGAATTAAGTATCGTAAAGCGTTGTACCAAATGTTATGGCGTTTTCTTGTAGCACATGTAAATTTAACACTCTTTCCTTGTGAGCGTACTACAATGCTCTTATGATAAATACCAGTTGGTAAAGGATTATTATCTTGTACACTTTCAACGTCGATGATTGCAGCTGCTCTTGTTCTCACGTGTGATGGATTTCCTAATACAGGGTTGTTTTCAGACCAGTATAATGTTAAAGTATATGGATGAACCCAAAAGTAACGCTCATGGCGAGTTTCAGAAATTGCACTAAATGGTCCCAAACGACGATAATATTTGAATAAGTATTCTCCAATTACTACCTGTGTAATGGCTGGTATCATTGACCTATCTGTCAATGAAGCATTTGTCATCATAGAAAAACCACCTGTTGTTCGAAGTGAGTCAACTACACTTGGTGCATGAGACAACATTGATGCTACTGAATGTGATTTTGGAATCGTGGTCTTTTTGAGGGGGTTCCCAATATTTTTCATTGAGCCTTTTTCACGAATGGCAGTCACTGGAGGGGTAGCTAAATCTGCAGAAGTAGGCTTCGTAGTAAATGAGCCAACGGTTGTCTCAACTGTTCCATGGGGAAGCTTTTGAACCTCGTATCCATTTTTTTCTGCATAGTTTTTAAATTCGACTTCGGATATATCCTTCTCAGGCGACAGTTTAGAATCGACCAAGCTTGAATAATAAGATGTTGGCAAAATTGTGACTTTAGTAAAATCTATGGGTCTTTCTTCTACATTGATAGCACAAGACTCAGGAATACACATAAATCCCATTTCACGCACTCTTTCAAAAACAAGGTTCTTGTTTGGAAGTTCTGGAGCCGGCTGTACTTCATTGTTTACCTTGGAGTCTCCACTTAACCCTAAACTCTTCAGTTCCGTCTGCTCATGCCTGTCTGTATCTTTTTTGAGCTTCTCGTAGTCAGTCTTATCCAAGAATACAAGATTAAAATCTTTCAGCTTTGCAATAAGCGATTCTTTTGTCAAATGTGCTCTCTTGAGATCAAATATAAGAGAATCCTTTTCAGCTATTTGTTGCTTTAGTTCATGAATGTCAGACTCTGGGACCATTTTATTTTTGCCATTTTCACTTATGAATAAGTCATATTCACTCTGCAGTACAACAATTAAGCCGAGCCTTTCGGCGCTCATCCTGAGCTCATTTTCGTTAAGAATAAACGAATTTTCAGCATCCTGAAAGACAACTTGGTCTTCATCTATCGCAAGATCCTGGGAACTCGACATTGCTGCACCATTGTTATCATCGGATGTCACTTTTTTGATGCCTGAATCTTCCAACGAAACTGCTGACGCTTCTGCTACATTATCTGAACTGTTATTATTTTCACCGAGATTGAAAACTTCAAGCGGCTCAGGTTTTTGCAATAAAGCAGAATTCTTACTCAGTAGTGTTTCATAATGATTTTCGTCAATCTTCATACTTTCATTTTTAGATTCTTTGTTTATATTCGACAGATCCATGGGTATTATCTTCATCCCTATTTCAGTGGCATTTTTCTCCAATAGCTCTATAGAAGGACATACCAAATCTTTATAATTTTCATTACTAATAACTTTCATATTATACCTTTGTGCAGCTTCTTCGAGCGACTCGTCTGCTCTTGCCTCTAACTTTTTAAGCGTTTCTTTTGGCAAGGTAATCAACCCATTTTCCTTCGCACTCTCTTCGATTTGTTTAATCGAAGGCTTATTCGCCTTTAACAACAAGTCGTCATATTCTTGTGTACCTAATAATTTCAAGGAAGCCTCCTCTGCTAACTCGTAGACTGTTTTCAAAGATTTTACTTTTAGGAAATCGTAAGAAGAGCTGGGAATTAAGACACAATCAACAGCCAGAGCTAAAACCCTTAGACGTTCAACGGAGGGCTCTTCCAATTCTTTCAAATAGTCGGTTGTGGTTAACTTTAGGTTTTCTCGTATAGCCTTCTCTTCCAAAGTCTCAGAGTCTCGGGCTATGAGTGCTGCTAGTTCAGATTCTGGAAAGAGTTTGTACAGAAAGCTACTTGCAGTCTCGTGCAACTTATCTAAGGAAGGGTTAACCAACTCATCATACTCGACGTATGAAAGAAGTTTCTTACCTTCATCCTTTGCACTCTCCTCTAGTGTCTTCGAACTCTTTACCTTAAGGGCTACTAACTCGGTCTCAGGAATCACGGTATATCCAGATGAGCTGATTTTTTCTTTCATAAAGTCAAAAGATGGCCTTTCCGCTTTTGATTTCAAATTTTGATATTCAACAGGCTCAATTATTAAGAGATTCGAATTTTCTGCCTTCTCATTTATGGACTCTTTTGCTGCTTTCTCTAAATCAATTAATGCTGGAGTCGCAATAATGCTATGCATGTGCCTTTTCGCATGTTGCTCTAGTTCGTCTAAATTAGGGTTGATCAACGCATTATACTGTGACGATTCTACTAAATTAAATCCTTCCCGTTTTGCTCTTTGTTGCAAGCTCTCATTAGCTTCCATCTGTAAGTTTTCATAAAATTCAGCATCCACTATAATAAGAGAAAGATCCTTTGCTTTTTCTTGAATTGTTTCATTTGCCTTTAGTTTGAGTTCGCTTGCTTCTTTTTCACGTAAGACAACACGGTCAAGCAAGTTTGCCTTTTCTTCTAAATAGGAAACTGTTGGTGTTGCAATACTTTGTTCTAAGCTTTGCTTCTCTTTGATTAAAGCGTCATATATATCAACTGAAACTAGCTTCATGTTCTCACATTTCGCTTTTTGCTCCAAGTACGAGACTGTTGGTGTCTCGAGGCCTTTTTCTAAGCTTTGTTTGTCTCTGATTAAAGCTTCATATTGTTCAGTTGGGACTAGTTGCATGTTTTCAGATTTGGCTTTCTCCTCTAAATACGAAACTGTGGGAGTTTTGATACTTTGCTCCAAACTTTGCTTCTCTTTGATTAAAGCGTCATATACATCAACTGAAACTAGTTTCATGTTCTCGCATTTCGCTTTCTCCTCTAAATACGAGACTGTTGGAGTTTTGATACTTTGCTCAAAATTTTGCTTCTCTTCGATTAAAGCGTCATATACATCAACTGAAACTAGCTTCATGTTCTCACATTTCGCTTTTTGCTCCAAGTACGAGACTGTTGGTGTCTCGAGGCCTTTTTCTAAGCTCTGCTTGTCTCTGATCAAGTCGTCATATACGTTAACTGGAATTAATTTCATGTTCTCAGATTTCGCTTTTTCCTCGAGTGAAATTTCAGCATCCCGGATCAAACCTTCGTACTCTTCCAATAATATACCATGATCCTTTTTATCAAGTACTATCTTATTTGAACTTTCAGCAACTTCATTAAGCGGTTTGTCATAGTAACTTTCCAATTCTTCAAGCCTTGACAGAGAGATAACTGAAGAATCATAAGATGTCGCCTTCTCAATAATGAACTCGATGGGCGGCGTACGGAGGGTTTGAATCATGTTCTCGTACTCGCTACGAGGAATCAATATCTTACCAATTTCTTGAGCGCGTGTTTCAATTGGACTTCCAGCGACCTTTCTCAAAGCCGATAGTTCTTCAATTGCAATCAAACTATATCCTTCAATTTCGGCTGCTTTTTTAATTGATGGTAAAGACAGACGAGTACTAAAATCATCGTATTCGCCTTTGGTTAAAACTATCTTATTATGGCTTTTTGCTATTTCCTCTAGAGGCTCCGAAGCTCTCAATCTTAGCTTCAGCCATTCCGATGAAGACACAATTTCAAGCTTTTGCGATTCTATACTTTCCATCAAATCCTCAACAGTAAGTGAACCAGATGCATTTAATAGACTATTTATTACAGAAGTTTTAACCAAGGTTAAATTTGCTTCGTAGACACGATCTGATAGGGTTTTACTATTTTCCTTCAAAATTCTCTCCAATTCAATCGTCGGTATAAAGGAGTGGTTTGATAACTTCGCATCTTCTGCCACCTTCTCTATAGTATCCCTGCTTTCGGGCTTAAGCAAAGTTAACGTTTTTATATGATCCTTTGATTTGACCAATAACATTTCATTCTCGTTAGCTATTTTTTCAAGATGCCCCATTGAAGGATTATAGGCAAGAACCTTCAATTTATTTAATTCAATGGTCTCGACTGGAACTAGACCAAACTTTCTTAGTTTTTCCTCCAAAAATTCACGACTTGGTTCTTCAATCTGCCTTAGAATTTTACTATATTCCACATTATCCAACACCGTACTATTAAGCCCCAAAGCTTTCTCTTTTAAGAAGCTTACAGATGGATTACTGAACAAATTATGTTCTGATTCCAAAATCAAGTTATATCCAAGTCTTTGCGCAGCCTTCGAAAGATCTTCGACTGAAGGCTCAAAAGCTCTAGAACGCATGTCACAGTAATCAGTCTCCGGAATTGCGACCATATTGTGTGATGAGGCTGCCTGATGTACTTGCGTAGTGGAGGGGTGTTCAGCCTTTTGTATAATTCTCTCATATTCTTCCATCGTAATAGCTACTAACCCGAGCTCCTTGCATTTCCTACCCAAATGCTCCTTATCTGGATTTTTGGCCAACAAAGAGAGGCTTTCGTAATCTCTCTTTTCTAGAATGACCAAGTTTAACCTCTCTGCAGATGTTCGAAGATCTCCAATATCTGGATTAAGAGCAAGTCTTTCTAAATCAAGATATTCTTCCTTCGTTTTTATTACAAGACTAAGTTTGGAAGCCAATGAATTGACATCGTCAATTGTCGGATTGGTCGAAATTCTTCTAATACGCCCATATGTCTCATTATCGATTACTGTACAGCCAAGCTCGCCTGCTTTATCTTCAATATGTGATAACGATGGGGTCTCCGAGATAGAAATTAAAGCATCGTAATCAGTTTTTAACAAGACCATGAATCCTAATTCCCCAGCTTTATCTGATATATCCTCTATGGTTGGTTTTTCCACCAATTGTTTTAATTTTTCATGCTGTTCGCGTCTGATAACATCATAACCATTTTCAGTCGCTTTGATTGTTATAAAATTAATGTCAGGAGATTTTTCAAGAGCCGACAATCTGGAGTATTCTTCTTTTTCAATCACATCATAGCCAAGTCTAGAAGACATTTTCATTATTAGACCTATTTCTGGGTCTTCCTTGATTTTTATTAATTCTTTTAAATCCTGACTTTTAATCATTGTATAATTAATCGACGATGATTTTTCTTGAAGAAAGTCTAAAGATGGTGATACTTCTATTTCCTTAAGTTTGGAATAAATATTTTCATCTAGTACTGCGCAGCCAAACTTACTGGCCATAACTTCAAGATCTGAAAGTTCAGGATTGTGTGCCATTTTGGATAATTTATCATATCTGTCTTTGCTAATCAAGGTGTGCTCATGTTTAGCAGCTCTCAGACTTAAGTGATCAATAGAAGGGTTATAGGCAAGTTCTTCTAACTTTTCAACCTCCGCTGTGGAGATAACAGAAAAGCCAAGCGCCCTTGCTCTTTCCAGTACAGTTTCAATAGATGGGTTATTTGCCAAGCTAGTAACTTCCTTATAATCAGTTTCCCTGACCACTACCATTCCTTTTGCAGTAGCCTTTAGCTCGATGTGTTTCAAAGGAGGATTATGTGCGAGATCTTCTAAGGCTCTGAAGTCTTCTTGAGTGACAACCAAACAGCCAAGGATTTCTGCTTTGACATCGAGATGTCCCTTAGTTGGATGATTTGCAAGGGTTTCTAGTTCTTCGAAGAGTTCTCTTCTGATAGCCTTATGACCTATTTGTTCTAATCTTGGTGAGATAACCTCCATTGACGGCTCACTGGCTTGTTTATATAGCGTTGCGTATTCTTGCTTTTGTAAGCATATCAAGTCATGGAGCTCTGCATGCATCTTTACATGAGTAAGGCTAGGAGAGTCTGCTAGGGTTTTTATATCTGCAAGTTCTTCCCTCTTTATAATTTCATATCCTAACGCAGCAGCAGTTGAATTCATAGTATCCAAAGAAGGATTCTCAGCTTTGAGCGTGAGCATCGTGTATTCTTCATTAGAAAGTAATTTTTGATTGTGCTTCGGAGCATGATTTTTTAAATGCTCCAAATCAGGTTCTTCAGCAACCTTCTTCAAAGCGACAAAATCCTCTTGAGTTAAAGTAACCAAATTCCTCAACTGACAAGTTTCGTTTAGTTTTTCCTTACTAGGATATATGAGATTATTATACAAGTCCTTAGTAAGAATAATTGAGTTGAACTTTTCTGCGCTTGATTTCAATGATTCAAGGTTAGGACTAACAAGTTTCTTATGTGCTTCTTCCGATAAAGTCACTAGTCCTTTTTCTTTTGCTTTTTCAATAATGTGGCTCTCAGATGGCAGATTCGCTAGCGCTGTAAGTTCGTCATAGTAGTTAGAAGAAGTTAAAATTAAACCAAGATCATTTGCTCTCGCTGCCAAATATTCTTTTGTTGGTGTTTCTAAGTTCGTCATTGTTTCCAAGTACTGGTCGTATTCGTCGGACTTCAAAGCTTTCAAATTTTTCCCATTGCAGTGTTCAATCAAGTAATTGGATGAAGGATTATCATAATCATGAATAATTTGCTGCATTTTCTCATACTCTATTTTGTCGATTTTATTGAACCCAAAATTATTTAATTTGGTGGAAAGATATTCCAAATTAGGATTATCAAACTGGTCTTGAACCTTATGAAGGTGTTCGAGTTCTTCTGATGGTAAGGTTACTATACTCTTAGACTTAATCTTCTCTGCCATCTCTCTCTCATCCAAAAATCTTTCATATTCCTCTTTTTCTATTACCACACAATCCTTGCAGCTCGCAAATTCTTTTAACTTCTCGTCTGAAATTTCCTCGTCCTTTAAGTTTTGATATTCATGAGACGATATGATTACCATGTCGTTCTCTTTTGCAAATCTCTCAACTTCCTCTCTAGAAGGTAAAGCACCGACGAGCTCATTGTATAATGCAACCTTTTCACGAGGAGAAGAATCCATTTCAGTATCTGAGTTTGTCCGAATGGTGTCATTAAAGGAATCATATGCTTTACTACCAGATACGGGAATGTGGGCCGTATGATTTCCGGACGAAGATTTGGAAATTTTAAGTGGGCTACTTGAGGCTAGATTTTGCTCCATAAATTCTTCCCATGCCTCACTATCGTTACCAAATTGATTGGTGAAATCACTGTCGTCATCTGAAACAAAGAATTTTGAATTCCGCTTACTTGGTGAAATTTTCAGAAATGAATTTGCGAACTTGTCAGAGATGGACTTCCTATTAGCGGTCGTCTTTAATGGTGATTTTGTCTCTAATTGAGTCCTTTCCTTCTTCAAAAGACTATTTCTCAATTTTGAAATTGTGTTATTATTGCGTGCTACTAAAGCTCTTAAGTTCTCGATTTCCAAACTTGGGTTCAGAGGATCAGATGAGGGTAAGTCCAAAGGAACAGGATCAATAAGTACGCTATCTATCTCGGTCAAATCTTCACGTACGTTGCTCTCTGAGGCGTTGTCACTAGGCACATCTTCCTCAACATCCTGTGTTAGTTTTTTATCACTGGTGGACGCTATTTTCAAATGCAATTGATCATTTTCATCATTTAATTCTCCAATTCTATCATTAAGAACGCTCAATTCTTTGGAATATGTAGATTCCAAGGCATTGTATTTATCCATGAGAGTCTTGTTTTTGATGATTAACTCGTCGTAGTCCTTCTGAATTTTATTAACTGATGCATCTTTTTCTTCGTTGAGTTTCAATAACTTCTCTTTGCTCAAATTTAGGCTTGAAAACTTTTCATTTAAGGTTGCTAGGTTGGTTTCCAACTCCCAATTCTTTTCCTTTAAGTCTGCTTCAGCCATGTCTTGAGAATCTTTTGAGCTCGCTAGCCTTTTGCATTCTTGTTTAAACCCCTCTAATTCATGAAGAGCCGTTTTAAGCCTGGTCTTATAGTTGTGGTTTTCTGTGTTTAGTCGTCTACACTCGCCTAGCAAGTTCTCACTTAACCCTACAACGAAATTCATGTCATTACCTTTTGATTCAGGCCCCATACTAGACATCAGATGCGGTTTGGGAACCACCGGCATAGGAATTCTTTGTGATCTACCTTTCACAGGTGATTTTTCGGTACCCTCTTCTTGATAAATATTTTCTTTCTCATGTTTCGAAGCTCTTGGAACCTTTGTTTTGATTGATGAACTGAATAGCTTTTTTTGAATATCTGATAGCTGACCCCGAATATCTTCCGAAGGGGAAGATTTCTGGTTGCCTGACATTGTAAATAGGAATTTACTATTGGTTCCAGCTTATTGTAGCTATCAATTTCTATTAGGATCTCCCTTTGTTGTGGTAAAAAGTCAATTTTGAGATCATCGTGGATCACTCACAAAATTGGTAAACAAGAATGTTGCAACTGTGAGACAATCACAAAACAAGCAAACAGTAAATAGTCAGCAACATAACCAAACTGTTTCTTACGGGGCTATGGATATATGCTAAGTGCACTCTTAGTTGGGTACTTATTTTGCTAGCCATAGTGTGTTACTGGAAGGGTAAGTTGCTCTTTCTTGTTTTCCACTAATATATCTGACTTCAGAGACCGGTACTCTTTCTTCTTTTTCACATCAAACTCAAAGTGATCAACAGATCGCGGGCAAACGGTAGATCTATGCCAAAGCTCGATGATCTGTCTTGAGGATAAACACAAATTAACAGCTTTCTCCGAAGACTCTGGAACCGTCAGCTTAAAGGTTCATAATGCAGTGATGGGCTAAGCAGCCTGACTTCAAAAGAAATCGGTAAAGTATTTAGTATGAAGATTCGTATGATGGTGAGTTTACTTATCCCTGAAACATTTGTTCTTTGAGGCTATTCAATAATGATATTAACGGATGGAAATAGATGGCAGATTTGCAGTCTAGCAGCTTTGGCACGCGCATTCTAAAAAAGTTCTGTCGAAATAACTTATTCAACAGCCCAAAAATAAAGATTTCACTTTACTATGGATTCCGCCAATTATCATAGTGGGTCATCAAGGTATAATCACGAGTCGAAGCTTTCGAGTCGATCAGGTTACCGAGAACCCATAGAGAAAGATGATGTCGAAGAGCTCACCGCTAGGACCTTGAACTTAAACTTGAAGCCATCGAGCAGCATTTCACATTATAAAAGGTTGTTCATTGAAATTATCAATCCATTGCTATTGACTGCACTTTCGGCGTTTGTTAGGCTATACATGATAGATGCCTCGAAGTATGTGGTATGGGATGAAGCGCATTTCGGTAAGTTTGGATCATACTATTTGAAACGCGAGTTCTACTTTGATGTCCATCCCCCATTGGGAAAATTATTGGTTGCATTATCTGGCTACATTGCGGGATATGATGGAAGCTTTGCTTTTGATAGTGGTCTAGAGTACCCGGATAACTGCAATTATGTTTTAATGAGAGCATTTAATTGTCTCTTTGGAATTTTATGTACACCTGTGGTTTACAAAACTGCTATTGCTTTAGGTTTTAGCCAGTTTACCGTATGGTTTATATCTCTTATGACCATATTCGAAATGATATCGCTAACTTTATCGAAATTTATACTTTTAGATTCTATGTTGCTATTTTTCACGGTGCTAAGTTACTATTTCCTAGTGAAATTGCATAATTTGAGAACACAGAATACGCTATTGACTACTCGTGGAATAACTACCATGGTCATGACTGGTGTATCTATCGGCTGTGTATGCTCTGTCAAATGGGTTGGCTTATTTGTGACTATTTTAATTGGATTTTACGTCATTTACGATTTATTAATCAAATTCTATCAGCTTACCTCCACTAATTCGATTTCCTTTATGAAATACATATGTCACTGGCTATCAAGGATTATTTGCTTAATAATTGTGCCATTCTTCATCTATTTAGCTTGTTTTAAAGTGCACTTCACCGTCTTGAATCATTCTGGAAGTGGGGATGGCTCTATTTCGACCTTGCTTCAAGCTTCGTTGGAGGGCAATCTGGTTTTGGGAGGACCGAGATCTGTTGGATTCGGTTCCATGGTTACACTCAGGTCACAAGGTTTATCTCCGAATTTACTCCATTCTCATCCACATCTCTATCCCGAAGGATCACGACAGCAACAAATCACAACATATGGGTTTAAGGATGAGAATAACAACTTTTTGATAGAATTTGATCTTGAATCTGGGTTGAGAGGTGAGTTTGCAACCCAAGAGCCCCTCGAGAATGATACTTATAGTTTAACGCGGTTAGTTAAGAACGGTGATACGGTGAGATTAGTGCATGATAAATCAGATTGTTTACTACATTCTCATCCTATCCCTGCTTTTGTGCTGAAAAGTCAATATGAGGTATCGTGTTATGCAGACCTCGAACAAAGTGATTCAAAAGACGAATGGATAATTGAAGTTCAACTGCAGGAGATATCACCTTCTCCAGCTTTCAAAGACGAAGATCCAAATCTTATTCATCCTATATCAACGAATTTTAGACTTAGACACAAAGTACTAGGTTGCTATTTGGCAACTACGGGGTATTCATTGCCCTCATGGGGTTATCAACAAGGAGAAGTCATTTGTAAAAGATCGTTTATGCTGAAAGATAAGAGCACATGGTGGAACATAGAGGACCATGTCAATGACAAACTCCCAGAACCTGAGGTGAAATACGTTCCTCCAAAACCAAAATTCTGGAAAGAATTCGTTCTATTGAATTATGGAATGATGGCCTCTAACAATGCTTTGGTTCCAGATCCAGATAAATTTGACAGATTGAGCTCTGAATGGTGGGAGTGGCCGATAGATCATAGTGGGCTACGTATGTGTTCCTGGGGTTCTGACGATGTTAAATATTTCTTAATCGGCCATCCATTTATCAATTGGTTCTCGACTGCTGCACTAGGGTTGTTCTTAATCT